CCCAAAGTTCCGACATGACTGCAGAAATACCTATGACAAATGTGTCATCAGTCCAAGGCCTGTCGGGCACGTAATGGACGTACTGTTCGTTTTCCCCTGCACAAACGCGCCGATGGCAGCGAGCAGCCTTTCAAGTGTTTCACAAAATATCCTATCCTCTTTCTGGAAGTCATGATTGCGAGCAACCAGTAAGGATATCCCCACACTCTCGGTGAGGTGTCGACCAGCTGACTGGTGGAGTGCTACACAACAGACATATTTCCCACCCTTGTCCCTCGACAAAATCTCCGCAAATCTGTCCAGAAGTTGTTGCTTGAGTTCGTCTTCCTTGCCTTCCCAAACAGCTAGGTCATCCCTGCAGGCGTCGATGTTGCGGTGTTCCGCTTCGTCACTGTTATCCGGTTGGAGTTGGCCACCGTTGCGGAGGGATAGCAGGTTGACCAAACCGATGAATTGTTCGGGGTTTTCCCACTGAAACCTGGCCATACTGACAGAGTCCCCTCACCAGAGCCAGATAGCAGGCTGGCTAGATTGAGGGGATCGGTGAGGTGACCAACAGCATACTACGTATTAGAAGACAAGGGATTGACGCCCGCGGAGGTTTCCGGGGACGTTACGAAAGGCCGAGCGTAGAGTGACTACAGTCCCAAGAAGTATTGAGACTCGACAGGCCTGCCCCTTCCCGACGTGTTCATTGATCTCAGCCGTGCATGTATACAGACTCGGGCTCTGAAGTAAGCACTCCCCAACATGTTCCTCCTTCATCGATCCAGTGTGGAGCCCGTGTCCCCGTACCGTTCGATAGACGAAACACGAAACGCAGAAGGAGATAACGGCGAGGAATACGCGGTTACATATGGACCACCCATATGAGACGCTGGTTGCCAGGGGCCGTTTGATGGGTGGGATACAAGGAAAGCTAACGGCGAGAAATGCAGGAACCCATGAGAACAGGTTCGAGATAGCAAAAAAGATTTTGCAGTGAAATAACCGGGGCGTACTTGTTCTCGCATTTTTCGTATTTGCGGTTTTTCCGCACTATGCTCGTCGTAATTTACGTTGACTTGGGTGATTCAATTCTGTTGTATCTAAAAACTTTTCGCTGCTCGAAGCCTCGAATTTGCCTACTTCGCTGGGGAAGGGTACTCTAGGTGGGGTGCTGTGCATCCCGCTCATCGGTATCGGGGGCTTGCCCTCCGATGGTAGTACTGGCTTCCTTGCCGTACCCGTGCTGTAGATCGTTGACATTGCCGTTTGGCGCATTATAGGTACATTCGAAGTCCCCTCAGGGAACAGAATACTAGTGGTGTGCCCATTCATCCACCTGAGTTTAACGGCGGGTGTCGTCTCGTACGCAGCACAAATACCCTGGACTCTCTCAGCTCAGGTTCTGGGATAGCGCCTTTCTCAACGAATCCGGTGTCGTACGTGCACTTATCTATGGCGCTGGTAAGCTACCACTTGTCACGGTACAGAGCCAGACAGGAGAGTAGCAGTCCAACGAACAGAGTTTGCTAACCCTACAAAGTAGAAAAAGAAGTTACCGACTGCGCCAAAAATACCATCATTTCTCTACATAAAATATGCGAGTAGCTTGTCGACCGAAGCAAGGCAACACACTGTGAACAACCCCTGGAGTGGAATCGAGTATTAAGGTATTTTCCGTACACATACCCGCCCAACTACCATTTCCAGGGAGGGGGTACGTGTTCGCCATTAGCCTCTTGAACCTTTGCTCAAGGTTTGGGTTATGTTGACACACGAAGTCGTACAGCCTCCCCTGGATACAGGCTGTGTGTAATTCCATGGGGTCGACAAACGGAGACTCGAGAACCTCTTTGTATACACCTTTGAGTGCGAATTTTTCTTCCACTGACTGGCAGTTGAAGAATCCGTAGTCCATGGCTACATGGGTCGGAGGGTCCACATCTGGGGAGTAAGCGAAGAGTCTGAGGTGCCATACAGTGGGACAGAAACCGTCAGGTTTGGCCTTCAAGAATGCTTCCAGATGCTTGACCCGTTTGCGCTCATCAAGCCCTTTTGCATCCATCAACGCGATGAGGCTGTGAGATTTGAATGCATTCCAGAACATGTTGAACGAGCATTTGTTGATCAGAGATCCGTAAACCCAGGGCAACACATATTCGCCCTCAGACCCGCACCCAGTTACGAAACCGAATTCGAAATAAAGGTCCTTGTAAATGGTGTCGGACAGACTAGGGTTTGGATGGTACCCGTTTAGCAGCATGGAATACAGTAAGAACGACTTGCGTTTTGCCTCTGGTACCAATTCGTGGGGTTCCTTGTCCCTATCTTCTGGGTCGAGGTAAGGTCGGGCAACCGCCAGGAAATCAGGCCGTACATCTCTTGAATTAAAGATGTCCAGGTTCTTACGGAACCACAGGAAATGCATGCCCCGATCGCGTGGAGTTATCGCTTCATATCGAGCTATAATATTTTTGATCAAAGTACCCTCTGTTTGCCATTCGTGCAATTCCCGACTTCGGACGCCCATACGCGTAAGACCGACATACAAATCAAAGAGTTTCCGCAAGTCATGGTCAGATGCAAACTTCATGAATCCGAAATCCTCCGCAGTGTCTCCGTCAACATCGTCCAAGCAGCCGGCCCAGCAAGCCCGGACGAGATAGTCGGCAGTATCCAGAGGTCGTCCTACGGCACACCGGAAGGTATGTTCGATATGGTTCCGCTGGCGCTCACAGCACTCACTGCACAGCAGGGGGCTGCGGCGTCTAGAACGTCCCCTCCAAGTGTTGCCTGCGCAATTTCCGCATTCACTAGAGGGCTCCGGAATTTTCGCAGCTTCAAATGTGCCTAGTATGCCATAGCGTTCGCGACCTTCGTATTCTCCGGAGAGCCCTGGGATTTCCGTATGTTCTAGAGCCCCTGTATTGTCGTAGTTCTCTGTTTCTTTAGGCGATGGCTGCGAGCTATGGTACTCGGTGCACTGGTCCGAAGTCCTGGACCGTTCGCTTTCATCTGGAATTTCAGCGGACGTGAAAGCATCAGGCATGACGAAGGTCTTGCCCCCTCCAATTGGGCCATCATCCCTAAGTAAGAACGTCAACGCGCATTATCACCTACACATAACGGGCACGTACTTAATCATGTTCTTGCGCGTATGGGCACGCAGAAAATCGAATTCACGTTGGGCGGCCAGCGCTCTGTGATACTGACGAATGAAAGAAGGTTGGATACTGTAATCCGTAACCCCCGCAGAAGATTCTGCGACCTGAGAAGCTAGTGTGATAGAGTTCGTCGCCTCGCAAAGCAGGAGGCTTCGCATACTCTTCAATACTAAATCGAGGCCTGAGACCATATCCTCATGGAGCCCATCCACGTCCGGGATAGACCACGATGGGTAGACTTTTCCGTGACTCCCACGAGTCCTAAATGCAAAACCCAACTGACGGAAGAACCTGAGAAAAATGGTACAAAGGAAGCAAGATAACTTGCTGCATCCAATGTAAGGGTATATTTCCCTATGCACGGTGTCAATGTCCATCTTCCTTATGATATACAAGACAAGTTGAAGTTCTGCATGAGTTGAAAGATGTCGCCGAGAGACCTTGATATGAACCTCCTTGAAAATGCGTTCCGCATTAATGACGCCTAACCCCTCGCCAATGAATCTGTGAATAGACGTTGGGTCCAAGGTCTGGTCCAGGCACCTCATCACGTCCGCCAGAGTGGGTAAAGTAGACGGACAGACACGAGGTGAGAGATTCTGCACGGGAACGATGGATAGCTCCGAAAATCCAGGGATGTTAAGGGCCGCTTCCACGAGCGTGTAAAAGCAGGACCTCAGACGGCCCAGCCAGTGTATGTCCGAAAGGAGCTTACGACCAACAAAAACCCTGGGACAGGAATCAAGAAATACGCTAAGAGATTTCATATGGCGGATGGAGTAGGCATACTCGGCAAGAAGGCGGCGCTGAGTTGCTCTGTCACAGGGAGAACAAAGAATGCTGTCCAGAGCGCAAATACGCTCCTGGGAAAGCCTCATGTAGGCACCATGAGTAGCATCTGAGTATGGGCCGATACTGCAGCTGTCACAGAAAGTTCTGCGTTCAGAATCGCCGTCCTGAGGTGAGAGAGAGACATTGTATGGAGGAACCCTGTTCATGCATCCACTGGCCTTGATCTCTTGCAAATTGTTGCGCAAAGTGTCGATATAATAGTCGAGACGGTGCTGGTTATAGCGTACTAGCTCTTCCCAAAGCTCCATTTGAATCGCGGGCAAACCTGGGACATACATATACATCAAACGTTTAGTAGAAATCTGCCAGTGCATAAAAATGTACATACTGCTTGACCCTTCGTGCACAGTGGCACTGATAGTGGCGAGTAGCGTTTCAAGGGTGCTAAAAAATTTCTTATCCCGAGACCCGAAATCCTGGTTTCGGGAGACCAGCAAGGAAACCTTCACATGCCCCTCGGGACGTCGATCGCCCGACTCTCGGAGGGCCACAGAGCAGACAGCGACATGCCTGTCGCCCTTGTCGTTCGACATCATCTCCGCAAACCTGTCCAGAAAGCGCTGTTTCAACTCATCCCCCCTACTACCCCGGAAATGCGAATCATCCCCGCCGACGTTGGTGTTAGTGTTACAATGACTGTCTTCGTCCTCTTTCCCAATCTTGGGTCCAATTTGACCGTTATTGCGCATTGATAAGAAGTTGACGAGACCGATGAAATTCTCGACGTTTTTCCACTGAAACTTGGCCATACTGACAAAGTCCTCTCAAAAGAGTCGGCCAGTAGGGCTGACCGGGTCGAGAGGGCTTGGTAAGATGACCAGTGAAGATGTACGTTGGGAGACAACGGAATTGACGCCCGCATAGGTTCCATAGACCTACGCAGAACTCGCCTGTGAAATCGAAGTTCATATATGCGGCGAGAGGGTGGTCGAGTCCAAGTTGGGTTGGTTGTTATCAGCGAGGTACAATGTGGGCTGAACTTACTTCTACACGTGTGGCGGCTCGATGGTCCAGTAGTAAGATACGTGCTTCGGGAACAACCCGCCACCCCGGGTGGTCAGATTGTACGTGACCCGGGTTCAATTCCCGGTCGAGCCCAATTTTTGCAACTTATTTCTTTTTCGGCCTCGAAACGTTCAATATACCCTTTCGACTGCTGCTGTCAGTAATACACTTGGACTTCCACTACCTGGGTATCGTGAACCCAAAAAATACGAACTTCTACGCGTACTATGGCTAATTTGCGTCCACACCGCCTTCATTAATTAAAACGCGCCCTCATACTCATCGCCGCAATCTTCTGCACCTGCTCGCGACTAAGCCCGAGGCCTAGTGGAGGCTTTGCGAGAAGTAGAGCATATTCGCCAAGTAGAGTAGTCCGGAAGGGGAGGGTATCGTCGGTCTACAAATTACGACGGTGCATCGATCGCACCAAATTCAGTACAGCGTGACAAAATGGAACAAAGTGCAACGCATACGCATATTGTAATGGGGTGGTCGTTTGCGAGGTAATACTGTATGTGGTGAGACTCGAGAGACTTCACAGACTTGGTACTGCACGTGGCGTGAGAAGGTCGACAAAGTCCACGGTCTTCCCAAACTCACAGTAAATTGGAGCTGAGACAGATCTCGATACAAGGCTTGTATACCGCGCCGTTCCGCTTAGACAAAGCTTCGATGTCTTTCAGCGCCGCACGGCGTGCTCCTTTGTCAGCGTCCAAGTGATAACTTAACATCCGGCGAGCTTCCTCAGGTTCCGTGCTTTCTTCCTGAATTCGCTCGAGATGCCTCCGATATGCAGCCAGGTATATCACATGCGAGGGATGCTCAGGATCCCAGGGCTGTACCGAATTTGGCTTGATAGTTGACGAAGAGGATGAATCCGGTTGTAACACATCGGCGAAGAACAACGCCTTGTGCTCATCAGAGAGGAAGGTTGCGTGCCCAAGCCTGTCCGGACGCCAGTCAAGTAAGGCGAGGGACTCTGCGGTGGTACTTGTTTTTGCCTGCACTATAACTTCCAGGCAAGCTGTGAGTCATGGAGATAGACAACACCCACCTCAGCGATATGGAGAGTAACTCCCAGGCCCGCATCTTTACCTCTCTTGAAATGTTTCTGAAATATAGTAACGTCGCCCTTTGCCGGATCGCCACACAGGTCCAGTCCCACAACACGCCTACCTGCAGTTCGGAGCGCGATTGCAAGATCGACGCACTCCTTCGCGTCTGCCTCAGACATCCGCCGGTCGATGGAAACGATCAGTGCTGCCTGGCCAGCTGAAAATTTCTCGACCTCGTCGAGCACGGTGGTTAGGTACGTGTACTTGGACATGTGTGCAGTCGCGCGGGGAGTCGTGCGCAGTTCGATGTAGGTACATTCAGGGACAGGTGTATACGTGAAACCAATAGGAGGAACGGTCTGCGCTTTGAGGAACGAGTGCAGAACATCACGAGTGATCCGGCCCAACGCTGACGGGGTCGAAATAAGAGGATAAATCGTGCGGAACAGCGGAAAGAACTCCGAGATTTCATTTAGCGTCAACCCCGATCTCAGTCTTGTGATCGTTTCTGTCATCTCGCCTGTAGTGAGATCTACGGATGGAGTCAGATGTTCAGCGAGGTCTACGAGGGTCTGCAAGGGAATGGACCCGTTGAGATGAGCGTGTAGCTCAGCCTTGGGTAACGACTGCAGAAAATCAATGTCGGAAGGCGACAAGGAATGCAGAGCAGCTGCAGATAGACCAGATATCGTTGCCATTGTAGACCGCCGATAGTGAAACAGTTGGTGTGAACGGCCGAGATACCATCGCTGCCGCCGGTGCAGCTCCGACAATCCGACGCAGTTGACTATATATTGGGACTCACCGCGTAGGCTAGACGCTCGCCACAAACCCGGACAAAACGAACTTCGGGAAAGCAACTACACTAGATTACTAACATGTATTTGCAAATTACAGAGCGTGACCCATAGTGCGTTCCTCCGTGAGTCCATAACGGAGACGTATACGAGGAGGAAAGCTGAAGGCTTGAGAAGTACAGAACCTCAGGTGGATCTTTGTTTCGAAAGCAAGCTGGCTTCGATGTCGGCTGCGTCGAGCATCGTGCGTAAGAGTTCGGAGAACTGACCGTGTAAATTCTCTGCAGGAGATATCGTGAATGAGAGGCAGGGTTTCTTCCGGCGTACAAACGGAGGACATACTAGCACGCTCGACAGCTTGGGTATATTCTTGGTTTGCTGTTGTCATCTCGTTTTCTAGTTCTTGAAGCCGTTTTGCCTGATCAACAAGAAAGTGCTCAGTGAAGCATACAAATATCCAGGATCTGAAGTATGACAAACTTGCTGCTCCTCAGGTTCCGGGGCTGGCAAGGATTGGATCAACACCTCAATTTGCTTCGCTTTCATGATCAGGTCATCTACAAGTTCTCTCTTGTTCGCTGACGAGAGGGAAGCAGGAACGTCCCCGTCAACGCAGGCCATATGAGAAGTGGAAACTTGCCGAACCTTCAAAGAGTTCCGGTGAATCGAACTTGTCCGGGTTCCGCTGTTTCGTGATCGGTATTTCCTCGCTGACTTGAAGGAAGTTCGATCGATTGGTGAGGTAGGAAATACTACTAGACATAATTACAAGGATCTGTCGTTCCATCGTAGTGGATTAGCGTTCGCATTTCGACCGTAGCCATAGACCCTTCACCCTTTGTATCTCATCTTGCAGCTGCGTTATACGGTCCATATGCGAGAGATCCTGCAGCATTGGCGCTGCCTGATTAGCAGGCAGTCGAAGGATTGCAGTGTCTTCCCGGCTCGAGAAGCCTCAGTTGACGGTAGTAATAGCAACAAACGAGAATAGGGGAAAATGATCTCGTCGTAGTCCGTTGGCAGTTCGCGGGTAACGCTGAAGACCGCTGTCAAGATCTCGCTTCTCCATTTTGAGAGATTATCTCCAGCAATCACTGACATGTCTGACATTCCTTAGCAGCACGGAGCCGCAGCAAATCAATCCTTGACACCTATCAGCTGAATCAGTACACACATAGCTACCCGACTTCCTCTGTCTCCGACGCCAACTCCGCCTCTGCGAGTTCAGGTTCATCTGACCACAAGTTGACCACTCCCAAGTCTTCTGTGTTTGGGTATATCAGAAACGTACTCCCGACGCTATGTACTCAGCTCTGGGCCCTGGTCTAACCAGTGAACCACTAACCCATCAATTTGACAGGCATGCGTAGTGCGCGATATTACCTTCTCGAACTCCGTCGATATATACCGCGGAGAACGGTCTCCACTAGACTTGTTTCCCCCGAACGCACGCATGACACTGCGTCAGGCCGACATTTGCAAGGACGAATATTGTCCGAAGTCCAGTAAGCCGCAAAGCGATCCATAGTACTATCTAACGAAGTATAACAGAATAAAACCGAGAAACCAAGCCACGTAAGAACTAGCTAACACCTCAGAGATCCTTCGTATACGTCTCCATAACCTTTCTCAGATGCTTCTCATCCCCGATACGAGGTGTGAAGCACGCAGCGAACGGTTTGGGGTGGGCAATCACACCATCAACGAAACCCTTGTCATCAATGGGAGCTTTGGGATCTTGGGTGATACGGAAAGACCAAAGGAGTAGAGCGGCATTGATGAAGATGGACCGGTTAGCAATGTGTTGGCCGGGGCAAATACTAGTGCGAGGACGAAGATGTCAGTACCCGAGGTAGACGGAATATCATGCGCAAACAAGAGCCTCACCGTCTTCCAAATCCAAAACTGGGGAACCGAAGGTCTTCCCGGATACGCCCGTCACTGCCCAACCACCTCTGAGGGTCGAACTTATCGGGGTTCGGGTATACATTGGGATCCCGAGAGATAGCCCTGCAAGGGACGGTAATTCAATAGAGATTAATACACGTAAAGATCCGACTCACCAGTGATTCCCGAAGACGATGGCTCCCTCAGGGATGCAAATATTTTTCTGCAATGATAATCAGCTATGGGACCGCTTAACACTGTAAACTGACGTACGTATATGATGTCCGTTTGAGCACGGTGGGCAAAGCCTGCAGACAATCGAATCAGGGGGAACGGTGCACAGAGACAATAGCCTTACCGAGGGTGGTGACTGGTCGCCAGCGGAGACACTCAAGCATGAATGCCTGGATTTGAGGCAATGCATTGTAGTCGTCAAAGGTAGGAGCTATGTGTATGCGTCAACAAATTTCACACATCTGACGAGTCGGAGAAGCGTACCACGGTCGCGACCGATGACATTATCAAGTTCCTCCTGTACAGCGTCCTGTGCTTCTGGGAAGCGAGCAGCTGCCATGACCAATACCATGAGAGCGACGGCGGTCTAGAAATCCCATACACATTAGACCCGAGGTGGAGCCGACAAAACAATAACTTGCAGTGTCAGAGCCAGCACCATAGAGCGAACCTGTGAGGTACGCCATCTCCTCATCCGACAACTTGTGCGTCTCTTGGTTCTCAAGGAGATATTTCGCGAACGAAGGGCCCGGGTTTCCCGTTTTCTAATGGTAACCCGTCAGGGACGTGATATTCGGTCCATTAAGTAAGAACCTACCAGTTCCTGGGCGACACGGTTAAGCTGGTCATGGAACAGTTGGCGTTCCTCCCTGCGCCATTCGTGAAGGTAACTTGCATATCCAGGAACATATTTCAAGATCGGATACTTCTCCACGAGAAGCGCGCCAGGACGCATGAGTGTCTGGAAGCGCTTCAACATCTTGTGAATGAGGATGATCTCAGGTGCATTGGTTCCCGTGGGTGTCGACTTGCCATACGTGACGCGCAGAATGACGGATGCAGCGTATCGGTTGGCATGTGCTTGGTGGTTCTTGGGGTCATCAAGAATGTCAAGGATGACATCGCGTGCGGCTTGCATTTGGATGGGACCATACGTCTCTGCGGCTTTCGCCTGAAGATGGGTGTGAGCAGCTCTATTTGCAATACGGTCAGCGAGGCCATCAGCTGGGTAATAACTCCACCCTCTTTGCGCTCACCTGCGTAATCTGCGGAATTGCTCGCCAGCGGGGGCAAGGATCATCCTAAGTCCACGGGACAAAATTTCACCCGCTGCAACTGC